AATAGAAAATGCACTCATTTATACATTGATTTTACACCCATTTTGATTAATAATTAGGATGAAATCACATATATAACAAGTGACATACTGAGCATATTTCATGTCAATGGAATACATGAATATCGTATATTATACAGAATAAAATATCGTACGAGAAAACAAAACTGAATACTGCATGGAGTAATTATTACATTGAATCAAAACGGATGTAATAATGAACAAAACTCATAATGAGTAAATCAATCGAAAATCGACTTTTCTTTCCATCATATCACAAGTAACGAAAGTGTCCCTGTAAACATTATATTGTCTTATGAATTAAAATTAATTTAGTTGAATAATGAGGAATTTCTTGAAAAGACATTACTTATATATCTACTTGAGACTTATTATTTGACTACAACATGATGCAAGTGTTCATCTTCTGACTGAAATTACAAACCAGTATTGATTAATTTATAAATTAGAGCATAATTAGTAAAACATGCTACATTAACCAGAATATAAATGAATTCTATTGACGAATCTCAAACTAAAACAAAAAACAACAGAATATACACCTTGAATTTCATTGTTAATCACTGTGTCATATATATACATCCAACTTGTAAATACCTAGACAGTATTGTGATCGGAATTTTGGGTATCTAATATGGTAACAGATATTGGAGTTTTAAACATCACCAACAATCAAATATAATTTTTTACAGTTACTATTGCATAGGGTATTACAGACTAGAGATTAAACAACTATTTTATGAAGCTAACTGAACGGAAAAAAACCATACTGAATTTTGGAAATTAACTAATTCGCCAGTAAAATGTATGTATATTTATCAATCGGTTATAAATTAATCAAATAACCAGTATAATTTCAATTATATCAAAGAGACTTTTAAACTAGAGTAGATTTCAATTATTCGATCACTGAATAGTGAACAATATCATTTTTATAAAGTTCCTTAGTCCTGATCAACATGACTAAATAGTTCAATGATAACATCTCAGACTATGAATCTGTGTAACACAGGTTCTTATTCACTAGAGAATATAATGTTCTTCAAAATTTCAGGTATACTTTGTTGACCACTATCTACATACACGAAACCTAGGACAATAAGAATTTCCTATTGACTACTATCAACTACCTATTATATAACAAACACTTGTATCAATAATATTATAATCTTAACTTAAATAGAAACTTTTGGAAAGATTTTGTTCAAATTATTTAACCAGTTAAATAAAATGAATAAAAAGAAAACAAGAGAGATTGACTAACATTCTTTTCTACTTATTATATAGAGTTATTATATCAGTTAATAATAAATGACATTAGTTAATTATTTTTATGAGATAATAAATTACTAATCTTTATGAATATTTAATAAAACAAATAACAATACACAAATTTAGTTTTGAAATATTCAACAACAACAACAACAATAAAAGTAAATGTAGGGAAATAATCCCAGATAGATTAAAATTATTATCACCAAGTGAGTTACAATGGTATAGTTGTCTATTATTATTATTATTATTATTATTATTATTATTATCATTATCATTATTATTATTTTTATGGTTATTATTATAGTTATTTAAAAATACAATTCTCTTTACAAGTGGAATATTAATGGATAGAATAAATTTCAATAATGTACAATTAGTACTACTTTAAGTTTCAACTAATAGTTTGTTAATGAATATGTCAGTTTATATTGAAAATTATTTTCAAGTTGGTTAAAATCTACATTATCTAATCATATAAATGTGAAATTGTTATCATGATTTGAGAAGATTGAAGGTATTAAGCTGAATAAACTGAACTTAAGCTTTGTTCTTATTAGTAATCAACAATCAGATGTATCTTTAAATTAAAGGAATTGATGCTCCTAGTGAAATATATTTTATGCTTGTGAGATATATTATATATTGAGCTATTGAAGATGTGATTGACCATTTTTGGGGATTGATATATTTACACTGGTTGTTCACTAATCATTAACGTGTCATGAAGTTATCTTCATAAACAATTAAATAAGATTAGTTCTATGAACTATACACCTATGAAATCGGTTGCTATTCAGTTACCGGTCACTGTAAAGTTGTTGTATTCATTTTTAGATTTAACTTAATTATTAAGTAACAATTAATGTATTTAGTACTAAACTATATTATTTATCAAAGAACCAGCAATGCTATTCGGATACGCATACCGAGTGGGCAAGTAGTGTCCCAGAGTAATAGTTTGTAGAAATAAAGCTAAAAAAGGTTAAATGTAAGGATTTCATATCGTTTTGTGAAACTGGGTAACACAAGTTCAAATCTACTATAAAGCATAAAATTCCTTCAATATTCCAGATGCTTCTTGCTGACGAGTGCCAAATAGCACGAGGCCTATATTAAACGGATTTTGTTGTCACCTATCTTCAAACACTTTACATCATTCATTAATTTGAGTCATCCCATGGACCAAGCGACCAATTGTAAGCAGGTCAATTTACAAATTTACCAAAGATTTTAAAACTTGATACAATTCCTGATAATTTTCAGTCTAAAAGAAAAAAAACAGATCTATGGACTTCAGTAAGATGCTGAAATGTTTAAAACACAAGTAAAAGAATCTTTTTAAGGGTTAGAAACGCTGAGTATGGTTGAAATAAATTTGAAGACAACAAATCTCTTTAGTTTATATAACTTATTTGACAAGTGTAAATTCGTATCGAACTTTTTATTGTATAGAATGATTAGTCAGGTATATGATCCCAGATTGCGAAGTAGATTGAAAAATATTCTAATTTATGACTAATCGATTGAAAAATGACTATTTTAATCAATCAACTAAAGTGAGAAATCATTAATGGTGCATAATTTTGTCGATGAAATCTACATTTAAATTACTATAGTGTATGTTGATAAGAGGTTCCATAAAACCTTAGAGAATCTCCTACTTTTGTTTCATACATTTCAAAATATCATGATATTGAATCAGTGACTAAAACAAGGTCGTTGTCATCATCATCAATTGAAAGTAAACACTGTGATCTTAATTTTATATCAGAATTACAGTGAACATTTTATGATCAAATAATTCAACTCAAACACTTCCAAAGCAACTCTATCTGATTTATAAGTTTTAACCAAAATTTCAAACACACACACACCGAAAAAATCGAACTGTAAATAGCTTTAAATTTTCAATGCTTTATCATTCACACAACACAATTATTTCCTATACAAGAATAAAAATGAATGAATAAGTTCCACAAAAGAAACATTTTCAATACAACACCTAAATTGTATCTAGAGAGAAGAAAAATTACATAAAAATAACAAAAAATATTTATTGCTAAGAGTTGGTATCTCATTTTCTTTTTATTACGTCACAAAGCTGTTATACATAGTATAAATATATATAGGCTATTGTCTGCAAATTCTCCTTAAGGGTACAATTAACAAAAATTTTCATTCACTTCTCTTTTTTTTTCTTTCGTTCCATTTAGGTTTCAGACACAACAAATACTACTTAATTCCCTGCCTTAAAAAAAAAATCTCGGAAGGAAATAAAATTTACTTTTTTTTAAAATAAAATAACGATTTAAATCAATTTTTATTATTTAACTGGGCAAAACTTATCATTTATACTTGACATTGTCATCTGTCTATTTATTTACTTAAAATTGTTACAATCATTTTAGGTATCTTAATTACCAAGGAAATATGAATTAATATTGATTTTTTCTAATCTTAACTTATACTGTAAGAAGTAGTACGCATGATATTAATAATAATAATAATAATAATAATAATGACAATAATGGCAGTAATTTAAAGTTCTGTTTTAAAATGTCCATAAATGTAACCATTTGAGATTTTCGTGAGCCATTAAATCTGTGATTGAAAATACTATGATAAATCATATGTGATTTATTTTAGAATCTTTATTTTTTGAGAAATAATGTTTTTGTTGTGTATACATGAATCAATAATGGTTTATGATATACCTTGATTATTTGATTAGTTGCAGATTGTTAACTTGTATATTGAGTTGAAAAAAAATTGTCAGTATGGGGTTGTGGAGATAATTAAGCTTTTGTTTGCGATCATGAACTAATTGATGTTAAACCACTATTGAAAACCTGAAAGCATTGGACGGCCGTTTCGTCATCTTGTGGGACTCCTCAACAATGCATATCCACGATCCCTTTCATGGGATTCCAGCGCTTCCAGATTTTTAATGATGGTCTAACATTAATCAGTTTATGATCTCAATCAAAAAAATTTATCTCAAATGGAAAAAGTAATGAAAACCTATATAAATTGAATTAGTTCAGGTTTATTATTCACTTTAAGATTATAGTAATATGGATTAACAGATTTGAATAAATGTACGTTTTTAGTTTGAAACTCTTACAGAGGTATTTTACGAAAACAATAGATATTGTTTTTACGAAAGAAAATTCATTTTTGTAGTAACCTCTGATAAGGTACTTGGGAAAAAAGGATTAAGATACAAATGTTTTAGTTGATAATAAGCACAATCTAAGATGAACGGGTATTATCGTGGGGTGGTTGAAGTTAAACATTAATTTAGTCGGATGCCAGCTCAATGGTCTAGAGGTTACGCGTTCGTGTGCGAGACTGAAGTTCTTAGGTATATATTCTACGTGGGGGATCGTGGATATACACTGCTAGAGAATTCTATACTAGGATGAAATGGCCGTAAAATGAGTCCAGGTTTTAAACGGTGGTCTGACATTGATCGATTCATAATCTCAATCAAAATAAACATATATATATATATATATATATATATATATATATATATATATATATATATATATATATAGCCAAAAACAAACCACTACATAAGGAGATACATGATAAGTTTTGTTACGATCAAAAATAACCAAGTAATAACAATATCTGTAGTAATATGAATGTTATTTATATATTGCTATGGGAAAAAAGAAGCAAGAAATCTTTTCCTTACTTACCAAAGTATATGCACCATGTGGACTTTCAAATTCTAATAATTGTAAATTATTCGATATGGTAACCGGTTTATCATGATGCCATATAAATTTTAATTGATCAATTGTATATCCATAGGAACCAATATTAACTGTACACTCTTGTTTATCCATTGGAAATTTTCTTAGATACATTTGACATGATAATGTCATTGTAATTTTTTGACTATATAATACTTGTCCATTAGATTTAACACGTAATAAATAATTTGGTTGTGACATATCATGTAAAAAACCTGATTTACCATTACGAAAAAATAAATCGGGGATCCATAATTGATTTTTTTGTTGATTTAATAATAATTCTTTAATATTATTACTTAATTGAGTATTAGTATCCCATGATAAACGTGGATCATACCATTGTTGACGTAAATAACAATTAATTGTATACTCCATTTGTACTACATTACTTGATGATATATCTATAATATGAATGAATACACTAACAATAGTTGGATCTTGTGAATTTTCATTTGGTCTTTCATGAGATTTATAATTAGTTAATATATATTTTAAAATTTGTTCTGTTTGTGATTCACCGGCTAAAAAAGGATGTGATATTTCAGGAGTATATACTATACCTAATGATGTTTTAGATTCTGACAATGATGATGTAGAAGAGAAAGGAGATGATAATGTAGATACTAAATTTGGAAAAATATTGGGTATAGAGGTATAATGTGATTGATTAATACTATTAATATTACTATTACTAATATGATTAATAGAACTACGATTGATATATTGATTATTTACACGATTTAAATATGTATTCCATTTAGTTTCATGTATATTAGAAGAAGGATAAGATATATTAATAATTCTACTAGTTGGCATATATGATTGATATTGATTAGATGTATAGAAATTATATGATTGATCTACATCAGAATTTAATTTATTATTAAATCGATATGATTCTAATTGAGATAATGATGGATATGGATTATTTTGTTGATTATCTAATTCATTTAATTGATCAGTAAATTGTTTACCAATAATTGTTTTTGATATAAATAAATATTTTGTTATAAATAAATGCATATAACAAATAGTTTTAATAATTAAATAAATAGTTTGCCAAAACCCAATGGCCATTAATCAATTATAAAATTACATAGTCGTGATAAATATATATTGTTCATTAAATAATAATTATATTCATACATGATTTTCTTTTTTTCTTATTAATCGATACATAATTTTTCTTTTCTTTTTTTTGTTTTTGAAAAATAAAAGTATAGATAAATAATTTTGAATAAATTCTTTTAAACAATAAGAAAATGATAATAATGTATATTGATCATTTATTATTTATTTATTTTTTTGTATTTTTTTTCCAAACAATTTAATACAGGAAAAGTAACAACGAATACTACTATTATTACAACAACAATAATAACAAAAAAAAGTGTAAAAAGAAAACTATTTATTTAGATGAATTCTCTTCTAGTTGTGGAAAATTGAATTGTTATAAATTTTTCTAGAAAACATTTTAGATAAATAGTCATTTGTAATTAGTTTATTAATTAACCAATCAGAATTATCCTCAGTCATATATATATATTACATTATACAATTATTATTTGTATGTATGTGATTGCATAAATGTGTTATTATTATTAATAGTATTCGTATTAATATTATTAATGTTATTATTATTACATCTTACATGTCTGTGAGTGAATGAGTGAGTGAGTGCTCATACATATTTTTCCCTCTTGAAATAAAATTAGAAAATTTAAACATAGAACTACACACCTACACCCCTATATATATATATATATATATATATATATATATATATATATATACATAGATGGATACACGCACATAAATGAATGTTTGTATATATAAGAGATTTTGAATGTCATCTAACTTGATATTAAGACAACCTATAAAATATCAATTCCTGTTTATTAATCTGATTAAATTACTCAATAAAATGACGATTGATTTAATTCATTTACTAAAATTTAATTGGTCAATAAATTTCTATTATTATTCACACACATACACATATATATATAACATACAACAACAACAACAACAACAAACTTAACAATTATATTTGACCAATAGAATTTCAAGGTTAACCGGTTGATTTTCTTTATTGTTGAAATTTCCATATTAAATTAAATTAATAAATAAATAAAAAAAATTTATAGAAATGAGATTTATGTAAAATAAATTGAGTGAATAATGTAAATAATCGACAACAATAACTTAATGCATGGATTGATGTACGGTAGACTATCAGCACTCGCGCACGAGACTGATAGGTCCTGGGTTCGAATCCCACGAGGCGGCGGGATCATGGGTGCGCGATGCTGAGGAGTCCCATATTAGGACAAAATAACTGTCCAGTGCTCTCAGGTTTTCTATGGTGATCTAGCTTCAATTGACTCATGCTTTGAACTAGTAAAATTTTTAAAATCTCCGCAAAACCCCTTCTAAGAAATGAGATTTATGTAAAATAAATTGAATGAATAATGTAAATAATCAGCAACAACATTAAAATTAATTTTAATAATTGAATACATGAGTTGATGTAAGTTAGACTATCATTGAAAACCTGAAAGCACTAATTACGTAACTAACTGCTCATTAAACGATATATCCGGTTCCTATGCTATTCTCGTAACCTCTAAGCTAAACTACACAGTGACCTGAACATGAGAGAAAAGGCGCAAAATATGCGAGAAGCATTTTACTGCAAAGGTTCGTTTTAGTACAGAAAATATAGGGTGTTTATAGTATTTCAGACTACCTTGGATTTCCCGAAAATTCTGGAATGCTACTAAGCATAGTAGCAGTCTGGTAATCAGCCAATCAGAAACTCTACATGTGACTTTTCACTTTCTTGATGTTTCTGATTCAACGTCAATTGAACACTGATTGGATAAAATACTTCTTAGTGTTTCTTGAGCCTTTCTTGTCTTTTGCGAGATGTTTTCTGGATCACCTCAACAAGATTGATGAATACCGATTTAATGGTTTAAAGATTAAGTATTCGCATACGAAACCGAAGGTACTGAATTTGAATCTTGCATATGGGATTGTGTATACGCATTATTGGAAAGTTTTATACTAAAACTAAATGATCGTTTAATACTTTCAGGTTTTCGCTAATGATCTAATTTATATCAACTCATAAATTCAACAATTGAAATTATTACAATCTTTGCAAACCCCATTCTCATCAACAATATTTAAAAAAATTTATAACAATGATAAACATTCATAATTCAATATATCAATAGGATTTCATTTAATCCGATCAAATGAATACATCATAATATTTCAATGGAGTGTCCTATTGTCACTTTCCTTTTTTTTGATTTTTCTTTTTACGTTGTGTACAAATAATGATGATAAATGTTAAAAATCATAAATAAAATCAATAAATCTCCAAATCAATTACTAATAGATTTGCTATACATATATTTTTATTTGGAATTATCAGCTATAAAACACTCATAACAAGTTTAATTTATACTGATAATTAACATGTGCTTACTATTGACTAGCTTCGTGACGGAATTCTCGGAGTTCTAGTGAGAAACCGTGACTAATCGAGCTAATCCGTGTCGAGTAGAGGCAGTTATCTACCTCAGTACAATGAAAGATGGTCGCGCAATTTCATGGATTGGTTGAGGTCGGACATAAATATCGGTTGGATGCTAGCACAGTGGTCTAAATGTTAAGCGTACGCGCGCGAGACTGATATGTCCTGGATTCGAATTTCTCGAGGCGAAGTCTTGGATGCGCACTGCTGAGGAGTCCCACAATAGAACGAAATGACTGTCTAGTGCTTTCAGGTTTCCAACGGTGGTCTAACATAAATCGATTTATGATCTCAATCAAGATCAAAAAATTTCTTTGATTGAATTTGATCGCATAGAAATTAATTTTTTAAACAATAGTTGAGATCATGCATCAATTGAAGCTAGATCATCATCGAAAATCTGGAAGTATTGGACTGTCGTTTCGTCCTATTTTGAGACTCCTCAGCAGTGTGTTGAAAAAATTCAACACTTTTATATCTCGAACTGATTATAGTTAAATAATCATTGTAAAATAGGAAATACTAATTAACTATCCAATTTTAGTTTGAGGGTACTTTGCAGTGTTTATCTAAAGCTCAGAAATTATTTGAAGAGCGCTTAATCTTGAGGTTGTTAAATTACAGTTATGTGGTTTACATATCTAACTTCAGTCAATTATTATAAACTACTATTAATAATGTTGTCTCCCAGCCGATATGTTTGAACTTAACTGATTACTGATTTTTATTGAAACTTCAATAAATGTATCTTGATCTTAGTCATTAGTGAGCATTGATCATTTTTTTAGTGTAGTAGGGTTGTATACACTATGAAATATTCCAGTTTTTTGTGACTTTAAGTGAAATGTACACTAAGACAGAGAATCTACTAATAATATTTTATTTGAAGTTATCGTTCATCGTGGACAGAAATAAAATTGAGTCAGTCATTATCAAGTTGGAAATACTAAATGAAAATTTACCTAGTGATCTAGACGTCTATAACAATGTTGATCTACATTGTGAACCTACACATATACAAGGGAACTTTAGATATCTGAATGAACCACTTAGTTGAGATCCAGTGGTACACAGTTCCAACTTCAGTTACTTTGAGTAGTTGAAGAAATATCTCATTTAGGTAAATTTAACTGGTCAGGAGTTTAACCATATCACGAGTAAGACTGATATTACTGATAACGTTAAAATGTAAGAGAAATGAATTAAGCCAAGAAAACTAAAACAATAAATCTTGACTTGGTGGTTTTAAGATAAAGTGCTTGCACTGTGATATATTATGGCATTTTGGGTTAAATTTTTGATGAAACGACTGTCCAATTTTAGATATTTCATTATGGTTTTTCCAGTCAAACTGAAATATTCCAATGGCATTGCATTTACTGAGTTAAAAGGTTAAATCATGAGGCTCTCATTCCTATATCTAAAGAAGCAAGCTATTAGTGATTTGTGAAGAAATTCTAATAAGTCACTTTCCTTTAAATTATATGCTGATCATTTCATCCGGAAAGACAAAAAATGCTTCAGGAAGAAACCATTCAGCCAACAACAATAACAACAACAACAAAAACTCAGCAATACCAGAATCCATCTACAAACCATAGAACTTCGCCATCATCTTTCATCAGACAAATCAAAATAAAGTCAACCAGTTGGTAATATTAAAGAACAATCTCCATAAGCCTTATTTTCTAACATATTTGAGAAATCAACATATTTACCTATATTGTATAAACAGATTATCTATAATCAATAATATAATGAGTGACTCATCAAAATATCAATGTATGTTTTCGAACAATCAATGAAAGAGTTGAGTAGTCACCTTGCTATGCATGTATCTATGTATGTATCTATGTATGTATCTATATATGTATGCATGCATGCATGCATGCATTGAACAAAATGTATACAGCAATACTGAATAATCACTATAAGATAATAAATCTATTCGAACTGATAAATGCTGTAAGAAAGGCGAGATTATAATTTATGGATGAACCAATCAGGTATAAAATAACAAGTTTTGAATTTTGGCGAGAAATTCACCCATTCATTTGTCTAAATAGCATTTTGGCATTAAAGCTGATGTCAGTTCGTGATGAAAACCCTAAATCTAATTCCTAACCTTAAACATCAACTGTAAATCATAATTTGAATTCCTCACACTAGTTTATAACCCTCATTTAGTTCTAGTTATTAGGTGAAAACTCTCAAGGTCACTTTAGTGTCACTCAAAGGTTGTCCATAAATTATGGTATCACCACTGATACTCATAAATCATTTTTTTTATTTTCAACTATTGAAAAGTAAATTGTGTTTACATAGGAAAACGTTTATTAAACTAGATTTATATTCAATAGTCCAATGAAATAATACTGAACATTTAACAGGTATATTCATGATAAATATGAATGCCTGTTACAATGCTTAGTATGGGATTCTTTGTTGTTTCAAGAAAAGAAAAGTTCATCATCCCGCTGTTGATCATAATACTTGAGAAAATTCACGGGTTAAAATTATTTCTGACTTAGATTGGCTGATGATTTCAATAAAATTCAATTATTTCAATAGTTGAGATCATGAGCCAATTGAAGCTAGATCACCATGGAAAACCTAGAAGCACTGGACGGCCGTTTCGTCTTATTGTGGGACTCCTCAGCAGAGCGCATCCACGATCTCGCTCGCGAGATTCGAAAACAGGGCCTTCAGTCTCGCGCGCGAACGCTTAACCTCTAATCCACTGAGCTGGCATTCAACGGATATTTATGTCTGACCTCAAACAATTCACGAAATTACTCGACCATCTTTCATTGTACTAAAGTAGATACCTGTCTTTGTCTGACACGGATTAGCTCCACTGATCACGACTTTTCACAAGAACTCAATATTGATTTTCAGCATTTTGACTAGATATTATTTCTTTTCTA